AATTAGACTGACTTCACTCACCAGCCAGTCATCCTTGAAATAAAACCAAATAAAATAAACTTTTCTCTTGGAAACCAGAGTAAGATGAACATAGCATTCCCTTTTTATGTTCAGATGCGAAAGAAAACAGAACCTTCCTAATGTGCCAAGCAGCAAAATGAGCTCAATGAGCTGATACTTCTGCAAGCATTTTTACCACTGCATCAGGAAATGGTTGCTATGGAGTGAAGGTCACTGCTAAGGTGACTGTAAAGTAGCATTTCTTTCTTCCTTTATTTTCTTGGAAGACCTTATGTTTTGCACTTGTTGAAATGGTAACATTTTGTTCTTCTTAAGAAATGACAAGTATTCCAAAACATACAGTGGATCTGAATCAGTGAGAATATAAATTCTACCTTATTGAAAACATATACAAAAATTTCCCATTCATTGTAATTTCCAATAAATTCCTCTACACTTCCTACTGCCTATTTGATATCATAATTGCCTAAAGATAAACTTATTTTCCCTTTCATATCTTCATCTGCTTTCCTTTCATTATTATTAAGCATAATTATTTATATACAGCTCCTATTGGCTGATGTCAAGAGACGGTTTCTGACGTAGTGAAAATATGAGCTGTTGTTTTGCTGTAAGTGTATTGTCTGAAATATGATGACTAGGATAGAACTCTGGTCAGTTTTCTATTACATGCAGCGAAGGTGACCTTGCTGTTTGCTGTGGTTTGTAGACCTTTGCAGTGAAATATATTGCAGAGATGTAAAATATGTTACTACTTCGAATTTCGACTCATTATTCTGTTTTGCTTTGCTTTCTTTTGAACTTTCTGTTGAAGAGATATGAGCATTAGAAGGGTTTTAATGTAATGTACGTGCATTTTTCATATTACTAACACTTAATACTCGAGTGTGCCTTAGTACATGTAGAAAATTATATTATAAACTGATTAGAGGTGACTATTAATTTTTTATGGATAACATGCAATCCTCTAATGAATTTCATTCAGCAGAAAATCCACAAGTTTTTGGTTCTTTCAGTTTTTAAAAGACCCATGTCATGATAGAACAAGTCTGTACTCCTATGTGCTTCCTTTCATGACTCATTCCATTAAGGAAATCAGATTAAGAAAACAGAAGCTTACGAAAATAGCACTTTCCACAGCTGAGTAAAAATCTCAACTTCTTAGAAGTGCTCTTCCAGATATTTCTGTGCACCTATGAATATAATTAAAGCTGAATGAATGAAACAGTAATTTCTTATTAAGGAGGTTTTATTTTGTTGTGTATTTATTTTGTTTACTTACCTGTTTGTTCTCACTGACTGCTCTCAGAGTCACGGGATGTCAGGAAGGATATAATAATGGCCAGTCTTTGTGAGCGAAGATCCGGGGAAGGTCTTTACACCTTCCAGCCTGCACATTGGATTTTTTAGGTGAGACACAGTGTGCGCGGAACTGAGCCCACCCTTTAATCCTAAGGTTCATCTGCTGGGGCCAAGTGAGCTTGGACGGTGGCAGCGAGGTCCTTAGGACGTAGATGGGTTGCCTTTTTTTTAAGGGTTAACGAGCTCCATCTGCCCGGGGAGTGTCCCTGACCGGGAATTGAACCCGGGCCTCGGCGGTGACAGCGCCGCACCCTTAACCACTAGACCACCAGGGGCTCCTCAGGAAGGATATATAGTAGATATATACTTATATATATTTCAGGATATAAGAAAATTGCCACACATGGAATTCAGTGGCTGTCAAAAAGAAGCTATTACTTACCCGAATAAAATTTTTCTGGGCATTAGATGCTCAAGGAACCTGTATTGCCTCTTTCTATTTTTGAAATGGCTTTTTTTTTTTTTCCTTCTTTTTTAGGGTATTGGTGCTACTTGGAAATGTAAAAGTGGATCGACACTAAGAAGGACAATGGTGTATGATGGTTGGCGTATGATGAGTAAAAGTACCCATCCATAGCAGAAAGCACAGATCTGACTTCATAGTGGTGTTTCTCTTCTTTTGAACAGGTGTGTGGGATGTGAGTAAAGAAGAAGGATGTGGATACCATTCCATCTTCAAAGGTCATAAATCAAATATTTTGTTTCTTATTAGTTCCAGAGTATAGTCAATCAGTCAAATCTTCTTTTAGGGATGGATCAATTTTTATTGGCATTATGGACTGGCCAGCCAAAAAGATATTACTCAAGTTTACAGTACTCTGTGTGGTCCGCTGCTAGAGCACAACTAGCACTGCTGCAATGTTGCAATAATTTATGTAGTGTATTTTTAAGAATGCAATTGCATAGTAATCTGAACTGTGGTACTGTATCAATTTTATCAAAAAATCTTTACTATGCAGAATGTTTTTTTCAGTTTCCATTACGATGGGATGTATTTGTGTGTGTACACACACATAACGTATGTGTGTGTCTGTGTATGCATGTATGTTGCATAGTCTATATGTAAATGTTTGCATTCTCCAGTAAATAATTGGAAGAAATATAAATATTATTTGTTCTATGTCCCTCCCCCCAGAATATATTTGCATTATGAAACAGCTGTTCATGTTAAACTTAGCATAAATGAACTGTAACCATTCCACAGCACAATCATTAATATCTGCATGTACTTCATATAACTCTGATTGCTGATATTTCTCTCATGTTGTAGTCTTGATCTTCTTTTTCCCCCCCTCACTTTCCTGTTTATTAAGTAGCTTCAGAAAATCTTTTCATGAAGCAGAGGCAAATAAATACTTGATCTTATAATCTTTTAGCAAAGTACTTGAAGGGATTACTGAAATGTGTTTGATCCTTTTTATGCTATTTTATATGTACAATAAAAGCATACATAACCTTCCAAATATTTCTGGACAGCTCTGTGATTTTAGAGCCATCCCGCATTTAGACTCCCTAAATTCCTAATTTTAAAACCTAAGCTGTAGGCTACAATATAAATGAGTATGCATGTATAATATCTGAATTGGTCTCAATATGGAGAAGATATAAATATTTTATCCAAATAGACATATGAATTAAGAAAAATAAAACACTTTTCCTTTTTTCTCATACATGGAAAACACTGTGATAATTCTCAGTCACCAAGACATTTTTTTTCTTATTTTTTCGTATCTTTTTTCCCACAACATTTTGGAAGAACTGTTGTTAATCTTTTCGTGTGACTTAAATATTTGAAAAAAGGGGAGAGGTCATGAATCCTATGGGCTGGTCCAGTGCCATTTCATTTTGCCACACCTGTGATGCTTTGTAAGTTAAGGCATAACAGAATGTGACTGCAGCTGGATGTAGAGATTCTCTAGACATCTTGAAGAGAGCTCTTGAAGTCAGCTCTTCTAGTCAGCCCTCGAAAAAGAAACAGCACAGCCTTTTTGGGTGCATCACTTTGGACCTAGCAGCCTGGCTGAGGGGTAAGCTTAATTAAACAGGTCTCATTGCTATGCAAACATGTCTGTCTTCCTTCTGGCATCCAAGTTAATAAGACCACTGAGTACATGGCTGTGCTGTACTGCATGTGCAGTACTTACTGCGACATCTCTACATGGTGATGCCTTCTACAGTTCAAACATGACCTGAGGCACAACTCAGCTCCTAATGCCTTTTAGAAAAACTCCAACATGCTATTGCTTTCCCCTGCATTTCTCCTTCCACTATTATCTCTTTTCTACCTCTGAAAGTGACTGTACGTGTATTTATTAGCAGAGAGGAGCTTAAGTGAATCCTTAATTTCCTCTGCTTTTTATGGGACAAGTTAAAACCAACTCAGAGAGTCAGGTAAAGTGGTCAAGAGATAAATCTCAGCATTTTTTTCCCCATTTTATATCTTGTGAGTATTTCTTGGAAAAATGTAGTCCCAAATTTGTAATGGAGAATTCTGAGGAGACATTTTGAGTGCCATCTCTGCTCTTTGTAGTCCCTCAAATGAAACCTTGGGGAACAATTTTCATAGCCAAATACTCTTACTTTCAGATCTTTCTTTACTCTTTCCTTTTGAAATATCTAACTCTGTGAAGGTGTACACTCCTGTATTTCTCTTCATTATAGAATGTATCTGAGATGCTTTCTCTGGTATGCTAATTGGGTTACCTTGTATTTCTTTGCGTGCTCCTTTGCATCTAGTTATCTGTTCATGTCAGCAAAGTCTTACAAACTCCTTCATGGAATATTTTGATTTTGCTGTAGAATCTAGAGTTTTAAAATCCTTGAGAGTTTTCATGCCTGCAGAGTTGAAACTTATGTTGTACATCCAAGGTCTTTCTCAAAACAGAATTTTAAATATAATGACTTTATTTTGTCCCTGCCTTGTGTGTTCTCTTTATGAAATAAGACTGAAAGAAGACAAGTAGGTCCATTTCCCTAGTGAAAATGGATGTTTTACCTTCTGGGTATATAGTATTTCTTAAAATATTTTAAATAATTATAAACACATAAATTTAATTTTTAAAAGTCCTTGAAAAAAGGTTTATAGTTTATGTAATTAATTTATGCATTTCTGGTTATTATCAGTACAATTTTATAAACACTAAGGTTACAAAAATAATTAGTTTCTTCTTTTTACCATATCATACTTTAATTCCTGCCTCAGTGGACCAAAAATAATTTGTCAAGATAAGAGGAAGTTATCTGTCAGTATAAGTGAATACAAAGCTACTTTAGCTCATCAACTGATAAGGAGACGTACTGTAGAGTTTCGTTTCATTTATAAGTAAAATAGCTTCATTCTTGTCCCTGCTTCTGCCTCCCTAAACAATATAGGGTAGTCAGGAAAAATACAGTACTGTGCTGCTGTTTCAGTCAGCCCTGCCCTGAGCTAGAACTACTTCAGGGAGGCAGATTATTCCTTTAATCTTTAGCTGCCTCTGCTGGTTTTGGCTGGGGTATGGTTAATTTTCTTTTCAATAGCTAGTATGAGGCTGTATTTTGGATTTGTACTGAAAACGGTGTTAAAAGTCCAGGTATGTTGTAATTGTTGCTAAATCCTGTTTACACAGAGACAAGACCTTTTATGCTTCTCACCCCATCAGCGAGGAGGTTGGGGGTGCACAAGAAGTTGGGAGGGAACACAGCCAGGACAGGTGATCCCAAATCACCAAAGGGATATTCCATACGATATGACATCATGCTCAGCATATAAAGATGGATGAAGAAGAAGGAAGGTAAGGCACATTTGAAATGATGTCATTTGCTTTCTCAAGTAACCCTTATGTGTGATGGAGCCCTGCTTTCCTGGGGATGGCTGAACATCTACCTGCCCAGGGGAAGTGGTGAATGAATTCCTTGTTTTGCTTTGTTTGTGTGCATAGCTTTTGCTTTACCTCTTAAATTTTCTTTACCTCAACTTATGAGTTTTCTCACTTCCACTCTTCCAATTCTCTCCCCCATTCCACTGGGGAGGAGTGAGATAGTGAATGCATGGTGCTTAGTTGCCAGCTGGACACTGCTCTGCTGGGATTGCTGTCTAGAGGTCTTGTGTGTAAGACTGCCCACTGCGAAATGAATGCATGTGAAATGATTCTCTGTATGTGTCTCATAGTCCACTAAACAACCATAAAATGAAATTAGCTTTTCTTCATTACCAACTCAAATCATATTTAAGTGAGAATATTATGAAAAATCATTCCTGATTATCAATTTTCTGACCCATCTACTATAGCCTGGCTTGGAGCTTTTGTGCAATTGATGTAGGGTTTTGGTTTTTTAAAGGCAATAGTTTCTGATTCAAGCAAATAGCAGCTGAGAAAAACTCTAAAGCTTCCGCCCTCTCTCCTTTGCTTTGACTATGGTAAAAAGCTTTGATTATAACTGTAAACGTATATGCTTTAGTCATCCTATTGTATGTCTTTGTCCTTGCATTATCTTATGTATCTTCCACAAACTATCTTCAGGTTTTCTTTTCTAGTGTACCATTTCCATTATGAGTAAGCCCGAAGGAGAAAGTATTAATATAAAATGTTTTCTCTTTTTTTGTCCACCTCTTCTGTCTTTTAATTTATTTAGATATTAAATCTATACTTCCTATTTTGCCTGAAAATACTTAAAACATTACAAAATTCTGATGTCTGCTTATTAAAGCGTGTGATCTTCTGTCCTGTTCTACAAATCGGCAAATGATGATCTTGCATGAAGGCCTAGGAGATTTGAAATAAACAGGTAGTGACCAGTTTTACTCACTGGTTTTTATTATTTACTTCAGGTGCAAGCACGTAGGTAGTTTAGTAACCCTGAGATTAGCTCAGTTGGTTAGAGCATGGTGCTAATAACACCAAGGTTGTAGGGTAGATCACCATAGAGGCCATTAACTTGAGAGTTGAACTCGATGATCCATGTGGGTTCCTTCCAACTCAGAGTAATCTGTGAAGGTGAGGGAGAATAATTCTTTAATTGATTGACTACACTTTCATTGACTACTACACCAAGAAGGGATTTCTGTAGACAGCATAACTTGTGTTGAAAACAATGCGCTCAATCTCAAATACGTACAGCCTTCCAACAGCAACCATCAAGAGTTTTACATTTTCCTAGAGGAACCCACATAAACATAGGGATGGATTAGCCTGGGGATGGATGGAGGAATGACTAGAAGATGAATGACTTTATAGTACCAAATTGAGTTATGCCAGATAATGAGGTTGTTTTTGTTGTTGTTGTTTTTGTTGATTTGGTTTGTTGTTTTTTTTGGTGGTGATTTATTCATTTTATGAAAAGAAAAAAAAGGGGGTAGGTATAGCTTGCTGCCTTTCAAAAGAAAAAACCCTGCTCTGTTTCAAATTGGAAGCAGCATACAGCCAAATATTCCAGTACCTGGGAGAGAAATCCTTAGGTAAGATTCTTGTGCCAGGAGTTGGCAGCAGTAGCTACAGGGATGGCCTCTGAGGGAAAAGGCCAGGGGCTATCCAGTGCCAGACACAGCCCATCCCAACAGACCCACCACAGGGCACAACTGAACCTCTCAGCCACACTCATGGCATTTCCTGGGAAAGGTTCAAGAAAGGGCATAAATCACCAAAAAGAAAGAGGAGGAGAGAGTAAAAAGTTTGATGAAGGCCACTGTCAGATGAGAGGGAGGTGTTGACGTAACAAACCAACAAAATTAATTTAAATTTCTCCAGGTTGAACCTGTTCTTACCACAGCAATAACTAGTAAGTAATTTCCCTGCCTTTATCCTGACCTACAGACTTTCTCCTTAACAATTTCCCATTTTCTCCCCTGTCCCACAGAGAGTGAGGAATGAGTGAGTGGCCAGGTAGCTACTTGGCTGCTAGTCTTGATGGTCACGGACTCAAACTAGAGCACTATCTGGAGCAAAAGCAGTTGCAGAAATATATGAGAACATCAAGGGAAGCTGGAATTTGCCCCATTCCCTCCTTCTCTATAAGTCAACAATACAAGGCATCAGGTGCAGTTAATCAGATTTAAAAGGTGCTTGCTGGTTTAGTCTGGGGCTAAACCAATAGAATTGATAGATATTGCAACTGGATAAAGCAATATACACAGTTTTGTCTTCCAGGGAGCGTCTCAGTAATTTTGGTGTGCCGGCCAAGCCAGGTATTTTTGGCAGTTCAAAGAGGGGCCAGCAGATCAGTGGTGCCAGCAGAGCACTGAGTACCACTTGTAGCTGTCATTCTTATTACAAAGCTGTTGGTCCCTCAGGAGGCCACTGGTGGACCTTTAAACTGCCTTAAAAACTCTGCATTATTCTCAGCTTCCACCTTTCCACATTGCATTGCTTAGTGAATACCATCTATCTTGAGTATTTTATGGAAGAGGCAAGTTTATAGCAGTATTTCGTTAAGAGACCAAAAATAGTACAATAATGTAAATGTCATGATTATTTTAGTTACTAGTTTTTTTAATATGACTCTATAGATTTGCCTTTCTATTTGATAGATCAACAGATTTAATGCTGCCAATTTTTAGATTCAATTAATAAAAGCTATAAAAATATGTTAAATAAACATATGGTTCTTTTAAGCTGTCTTTCATGCAAATAACAAGCAGAAATATTTATTTGTTTTCCCAGATATTAAATTTCTTTTGGCCAAATTGCGCCTGTGGGTATAACCATGCTGAGGGTGTTTAAAGTATGTTTTTATTTTCTGTAACAATTGATGTGTTAGGGAATCTAGGGAAACTTGCCTGAAGAAATTTTTCTTTATAGTGAGAGTAACAAACCCCTATTCATTGAAAGGATAAAACAAAACAATTTTCATTGTCTAAAGAACATTATAAATTAATGGAACTCCTAAAGAGGGATCAGATATTTTGTTTCAAAAAGTATTTGCTTGGATTTCTCATTAATAAAATATGATTTCAATTATGAAAGTCGATAAAATTGATTTTGTACCAATCAACACATATTGCCTGCCTGTGGCACTAATGTTATGCTGATGTGCTCAGTAAGAGTGGTCTGAGATCAATTTAAAAACACTTAAAACAATGTTCATGAGTTTCAGCTGTGATGTTTTCAGGCTGTTTGCTTTATAATTAACTAAGCCAATAAGTTGTATGAAGAGAAAAATATTAAACTATGCAGATTTTCTGAGAAGGAAAATAGAATATTATTAGCACTAAAGGTATTCATTATTCATGTGGTACAAAAAATTGTGTAATTGTTTTTATATGAAAATGCAACTATGGAAACCACTTTTAAGTTTTCTGGAATACAGAAACATTTGGATCTGGATTCATTTGGACTATATTTAATTTGGAAATTGGTATTTTCTTGTTAACATGAACATTCAGATTGATAATTTTTTGTTTGTTTACCACTCTTTGTCATATTTATTTTCATTCAGACTATAAGATCTTTATGATCAGCACTGTGTCTCCACATACTTTTGTATTAGCACAGTGGTACTGTTATATGGATGAGAACTTCTGAATTCACTTATAAGATCTCACTGTGTAAGATCAATTACACAGTGATTGTAATGACTGTTTGCAAATTCAGATTTCCAGTGACCTGGGAAAGATTTTGTTTGAACGTTTAATTTTAACCACATTTGAGGAAAAAAAAAAAAGCAATTTGCAGTGCAAATGCTAATAATTAAACTGATGCCAGTTTAAACATTGAAAATGTTTGTAAAAGTCTAACTGCTTGATGAGGTGATGCTCCCTGGTTCATAAATGTTTCAATTTATAAAAAACAAACAAACCCTAAAAAAACCCCATGCAGGAAATAACACTCCAATACTCAAAAGTTCAGTAATTTGTTGTAACAAGATTTTTTTAGAACAATTAAATTATCCCGGAACCCATATTTGAAATTACTAAGAAATATCTCTAACCCAAAAAGCAAGAAGAGTTACAGCTGATGCAGCCTTCCACAAGGGCCCAGAGCAGTGCAGAACAATCACATGGCTCCTTTGTGTTTACTCTTCAAAATGTTAACAGGTCTGACAGGGATTTAAATATTTAGAGTAGAAATTAAATTTTTATAGTTACTATGGGGACTGTGGGGAAACAAGTAATAGCAACCTTACAGTAAAAACAGCTTTAGAAGACAAGTGACATTTAGTTCATACAAGGCAGCATATGCTTTGTCTCCTTCCTTCAGCTGTGGAAATGCTCAGGCTTTGGCTCTGTTCCTACAAGATGATGACTACCCTCAACTCCAAGTTCTGTTCTCCTTGTTTACTGAAGTAATTCTGGAAACACCCCATTTATCAGGAAAACTGCCACTGATTCACATCAGTGTAGGGTAGCAGAATTGGGCATTTACTTAGGTTGCAGTGCAGGGTTCTTCAAAACATATAGAGAGAGACCCTTAATTTGCCATGTGTTTGAAACAGCAAACTACCACCAAGGAAATTAGCACACATCTTTGTAAATTTTTTTCTTGGTATAATTGCTGATTTTTTTTTTCTCCCTCCCTTGTCATAACTTACCTTTACACATCAAAGACTGCATAAAATAAGAAAAATATGTATAGGAACACCAGAGTGAGAACATGTTGAGGCATACAGCTGCATGGCTCAGACCAACCATGGGTCATTTGGAAGGCAATGCCTCCTGGAGCTCTTTTGTCTACAGGGCTGTGCACAAACTGACACCTCACAGTGGGGTGCAGCACTGTCCCTCTGCACAATGTCTCTCCCTCGCTATAGCTGGGCCAGTGTACTGCCCCTTACTCTACACTTTCAAACAGTATGCAGCCTCAGAGATCAGGGGTTGAAGCATCAATTCTGTATGGCCCATATGCTGGAAAAAAGGATGGGGAAAAAGGCGTGGCATGTTATCCTCCGCACCTGAAACAGGCCAGCCGGGCATACTGCGGCTCGATTTGTGAAGATTTTCTTTTCATTAAACTAAAGGTGAGTGACTCATAAAGAACAAATTTACTACAGAATTTTATCTTGTTGTTTATGTATAATAATGATCAAAAGTCATTGAAAGCATGTAAATAAATCATACTACTTTTGTGGATTTCTTTGGTTTCAAAGTTACTGATAAGAGCCACTTAGGAGGTTAAATCATATTATTGGAAATCTCGTTAAACATCTCCTTATTTTCAGTTAATGCAGTTACTTTTATTCTTAAAACTACCATAACAACTGCTAGGTGAGTTATAGATGATATATATCTATAGCTATATATCTATCTCTATATATCTATATCTATCTATATATATCAGATGGAGATCATAGTTACGTACTACTGAATCATTAACAGCCTAGTTAAATGTCAAGAGCCAGATTCTATCAAGAGCTTAGTCACTCAGAGTCAGGCTTTTAAGGAGGGATAAAATTTGGGACTTGGTGCTTCTGTGGAGTAGGGTGTTGGAGTAGGGATACCCGTATTTGGAGTGCTAAAGATGTAACGGCATGAATTATGTGTGTGGTTTAGATATTCACATAAACTGTGAGATTTTATTTTGTATTATTTATTTTACATAAAAACACTGCATCTGCTATAAGAAGAAGGGTACATGAGATTTTCTGTGTTTGCTAATTATCTGAGATCATCTTCCTACTCATATAGGAAAAATCTTTCAAGTTGTGGATTGAATACATTTTAAATAACTTTGACTTTTTTAGAACATTTTTTCTTGAAGAGACATCTCATAACATATGCCAAAGTCTGTTCTTTCATAGTTTGCAAATGTTATTTATCCCTTCTATGAAGGTTTTGTCATGTAGAAAATAATATCTAAGTATTATGTTGATTTTCATGGATGTAAGCTCTTTATAAATATTGCAAATTTATTGCATAGTATCCAAACACATAGAAACATTGACAGCTCCTTTTCAAGACCAAAGCTGTCAAGTGACATCTGAACTTTCCATGCTTAATTTGATAAACCTACTCTTGTGTTGCTGGGCATTGTGTATTTTTGGGGATTTTTTTTTTTTTGGTGAAGATTATGTTTATTTGTTGGGGGGGGGCTTTTTATTTTTTTCTTTTTTGTTTGTTTGGTTTGGTCTGGTTTTGGGTTTTTAAATTTTTTTCCCCCTTAAGAGGTTAATAATTCTGCAATGCTGCACATGTTCAAAATTGACTCTGGTTCCATTTGGATGCAGTCACGAATACTTAGTAATTCTACAAATGCAGTTCCAGATATCTCATACTAGGCATATAGAAAAGGAGGAAGACAAGATTAATGATGATTCATGTTCCACTTGCTAAGTATCCTGTTCATGGACAAGGTTTCTGTCCAGTTGTCCATACTAAATTTTTCCTAATTGTGAAATAGTCTCTTTTCCTGTCCTTGCATCAATGAATTCCCTCTTTCTCAGTCACGGCAATGACTGAAGCAGAGCGTAGATCATTCTCTAGTACACAAATAACATTAATTCTCAGAATTCTGTTTTTATGAAGTCATATCTGAGTAGTTAAATTGCAGTTAAATATTTACGAATAGTTAAAGATTGTGAGTGAAAAGCATTTCTTAAAAACAGTATCAAGTCACCTCCTGGATATAAACTTTATAAAAAAGAGCATTATCATCTAGAAAATCATATAAGTTGGAAAGAAAAAAAAGAGGAAGGAAGGACTAGAGGAAACAAACACAATTAAAGAACAATTAAAAGAAAGAGCAAGTAAAAATTATTCTTTGACAATTTTTTTAAAGAAGAATTAAAACTTATGTAAAACACAGCACTGCTTGTGCTGTCTGTTAGTATTTAATGTGCATCATCAATTTGCATTTAAGCAGCTTTGCTCCATGGCAGAGATTGCAGCTAGCTGAAAATAAATAAGTAAATAAATAAATACCATTAACTAAGGAATTTGAATAATAATGTCATTATTTATCAAATAATTTGACAAATAATATTTTGATTGCTGCAGTATTGGTTAACTATCATAAGAAGTATTTGTTGAATAAATTAGTCAATGAAAAATGACAAAAATTCAGTGAGTAATGTATTTGAGAAATAGTATTTAGCAAGCTCAACTGCATACATAATTTTATTTTCTGAATCCTGTATTAAGTAATCTTCTTAAAAAGCAGAAATAGTTAATTTTTTTTCCCTTCAGCTCTCCTATGGTCAAGTGAGAACTGCTGGTTTTGTTCCTTGCAGTAGTGTTCCTCTAGTTGTACGTGAATGAAACTGCCCTAGAAAAAAATCATATTTGATAGATTTGACAACATTAAGGTGTGAGGGGCTGGAAAAAGTTATTAAATCCAATTTTAACTGCACCTGTTTTTTTTTTTTTCGTAAATGCATAATGATGATTGTAGACATAGGCAAACATACTAAAAGCATTATTTCTTACCATAATAATCAAACATTCCAATACAAACTAAAAATGAGAATTACATGAAAATAAAAAATCTCCAAATCCTCATGTTTAAAACTTACTTTTTTCAAATTGACGTTTTTAGTATCTTTAATTCAGTAGAGTTTTAACCTGCTTCAACTGAGTTGATGATGAACTTCCATTACTGTTTTCTGTGTGTGTTTGTCCTTTCTTCCTATAACATGACAATAACAACTATTAATTCTCTCAAAATGTTTAGGAGCAACCCTAGAAAGAAAAAAAAAAAGAAGGTTGTGTTGGTTATTTGAAATCATATGTCATCTTCATTCTCTCTCTCTGAGATATTTCAAAGGTTTTTCTAAGACATTTTAAAATAAGCTCCAAAGGGACACTATTTAATGCCCTTATGTAAGGGGTCAGTATATGTGACTAATATTATTCTCCCTTTACCCTTCAGATGTCCTGGTTAGTGCCTGGAGGCATAAAAAAAACGAATTCAGGAAAAGATGTAGATCAGAAGAAGAAAACAAATGTCAAGACTGAGAAGCCCCCTTGGCCTTGCAGAACTTGAAAGGGAAGAGCAGGCACAGCAGCAGAGATTCTCTGTCTGTACAGGTTCTCAGGTACCAGCAGTTCCTTAATGTCTGCTGCACCCTATCTGAATGTCATGTTTTAATTTTTCTGCAGATTGAAATATTTTGGTTGCTAAAATTTTTTCACCTGATAGAATATGTCTGAATGAAACCTAGTGGTTTTTGATTTAAGACAGGGCAGACAATGTAGTAATTGAAATTTCTAAGGAAGGATGGGACAGCAGGGGTTAGAGATGAAAAGGTGTTTTTGAGGCCTTTGGCTGACGTCTGGCTTATGTTGCAGCTGAAGCTCCCTGTGGGCTGCTTGAGATCCTGCAGAATATTCCATCTCGTTTTACATTCACATCTTCTTAGGAAGAAATTGTACGTGTAGGATCATGCAATAGTACTACTGGATTCAATTTTGTATGATATGATGAAATTTCCAGAGGAATAAACACCTTGTGTCATCTTATACAGTAGGAGTTCAGTTCTGACATTAGCTGTGAAAGGATGAAATTGTATAAAGAGTCTGTCAAAAAATGAGTATATTTTGCTGTACTGTAGTGATATAAACAGGATGAAATACTGTCTTCATTGCAGTCAATGAGATATTTATGCTTGATTTAGTAAAGTTGGGAGGTCATCACACACACAGCTAAATCAGATGTTAAAATAAGCCTTTGTCCTTCTTTGGATTCAGCAAATATTTTAACCCTCATGTAAGTTAGATAAAAAAAATGTGCGTTTAAACATCTGCTTGGATAGTTTAACTATCTGTTAGTACAGAATCATGTTTTAGTACTCCAGACTAGTGAACATGGAGTGAAAAGTCCTAACAACAACAACGCTTAAATTCTTTGTGATACACAGAAGTATATTTTACCAGTTTCCTGATGTTAACTTAACCAAAATAGTGAACAAACTAATAAAACCAGCAAAACCAGATAAACTATTAACAATGCAATACCCCCAAATAAACTATCTAAAGCTTACATTTACTCCTTAATCTATAAACAATGCTGCATCAGGAAGCAAATGACAGATCAGGTGACATTAACCCTGCGCGTGTTGCTGGGTTTTAGCAGTACTGATGTACCAAGCTGCTCCATGTGCTAAAGCTGCAGTGCTTCTGGCATAGGTCCAATCAGGTTTAGAGTGATGACAAGGGGATTCACTGGCCTGCACAATCGGATGACTGCACACCTTTCAGCTATCATTGAATGTAACAGCTCTGATGAATGTCAGAGTCACATGCAAGCTTGTGGGGTGTGCTATCTCACTTCCCCCTCGTTGCATATAGAGAACTAAAAGTGAAAAATGGATATCCAGAGGACCTCTTTGAGGACAGAAAAGAGACACCACAGTGTTACTTTTTTTGTCTTTTTGTTGAAGTTCCAGGGTAAGGGTGTCTGCTTATTTCAGTGAAGAGACCAGGGATTTAAAATAAAACCTCCTTAAATATGTCTTAATTAGTGAATGCATTCACATGTCATCTCTGATTTAACCACAGGTAGTCCTCCTTCTAGCTGTCATGTTGTGCCTTCAGGATAAGCTATACCAGTTTAGACAAGTATGTTTTCCTCATGTTCAGCTGTAATGCTACTGAAATTTAAAACCAAAGTAATGGATTCAAACCAGTGAAAACTGTTTAATTTTTTTAATGAAAACCAGAAGTGTCCTATATGTTATGCTTTTAAAACTGTCTTATCCTTGCCCAAAACTGAAGTCATAAACTGCACAAAACGCATTGTATGGGCTTTGAAAGGGAGCCACTCTAATGCAAATAGCATATATATATGCAGGTAATATGTTTTCATAGGCTTGTCACAAAGACCAAAAAAAAATTAGACATTAGTTTTAGACATAGACAATGAACTGAGGACTTTTGCCTTTATAGTTTATGTCAAAACTTCCACTAATTTGAGTTCCGTCAGAGCAGAGCACTGGCACCTTGCAGTTCTGGAACAAATTTCAACATTTTGCTGTTTCCATTGCATTTTGCTACTAATGTTTCTGAACCTTTGATTATAAAGACCCACTGACTTTTTCTCTCTCAGTTGGTTCAGAAAAAGCATCTTCTTAATGAGACCAGTAGCTTTGAGTTTTCAAGCATAGTTTTCCACAGTACTGTTCTGAACCTTTTCTAAATTACACTATTAAAGTTTGTGCCCTGACTCTGCATGCCACAGAGAGCTCAATTTGTTTTACACACATGGTGATGAGGGAACATTAAGAAGGAGATTTGAAAACTTGTGTCAAGATGAAAAAAAGGGAGAGAAAAGTGACACAGAGTGGTCTAATGGAGGATGGGTTGAAGTAGTGAAAGGCAAAGCATAGACTTAAACCACACGGAAAGAACAAGAAAGCATATAGGAGAGGATGTGTCAGAGAGGCTACCTTTAATCCCAGCATACCAGCTGAGAAATTTGGTTTCACTCTACACTTACACAGCATGTAAAAACACATCCATGTAAATATTTTAATTCATGTAAATACATGTATTAAGTAATAATCAAAGAAAACTGTGAGTGCATGCAAATAAGTAAAAATATTGGAATGTAAAATATTTACACTGACTCCCTTTCTGCAAGAAGAAGGAAGAGAGCGAGTGACACATAGCATGCCTTACATTTGTCATAGTGCAGATGAGCACATTTTTAGGGAGTCTGTTGACATTTGTGCAAAATGGTTGTTTCATAGGAACAAATGGGAAGCACAGATAGAAAAGGTGCTTAGAACTGTACCTCTGGGAGAGTCCAAGAGTTGATTTGACAGCATTATATTATAACATTTAAGAACAAGCCCAGTGTGATTGCTCTGTTATTTCAAGGCAAAAAAAAATTAGATTTTATTACATGAAAAGAAAATAATGCTGGAGTGGTTGTGCTAGTAAACCAAACACTTTCTGGAATATCTGCTGATACTGTGACTGAACAACATGAACTCCCTTGTAGATGTAAAATGTAAGTTTTATTGAGCAAAATCAGAAGTGCACAAAAGTGGAGGCTTTCCACTTTCTGCAGAAACCCTGCAGTTAATCCCTCAATACCTTCAAGCATCCTATTCTTACCTCCCCATAAAACATCGCCTTGTAGTCAGCCCTTTCCAATGTGAACTTCTGAACTGGAGATGTCTTCACACTATCAATTGTTGGTCTAAGTGATTTTGGTAAATTTAATTTGAGCCTATCATCCTGAAAAATCCTGGGCTCATCATGATGGATTTGGCTTGGGTAGAGTGGCTGGTATGGGGCTGTGTTTTGGATTTATGCTGAACATGAGCCAGCAGTGTGCCCAGGTGACCAAGAAGGCCAATGGCATCCTGGCCTGGATCAGGAGCAGTGTGACAAGCAGGACGAGGGAAGTGATTCTTCCCCTGTACTCAGCACTGGCATCGATCTCTTCTCTCAGGCAACCAGCAGTAGGACAAGAGGGCATGATCTTAAGCTGTGCCAGAAGAGGTTTAGGTTGAATATTAGGAAGAAATTCTACAGAGATCAATCAGGCACTGAAATGGCCTGCCCAGGGAGGTGGTGGATTCACTGTCTCTGGAGGTTTTTAGGATGAGGTTGGATGTGGCACTGAGTGCCATGATCTAGTAATCACAGTGGTGTTGGATCAAGGGTTGAACTTGATGATCTCGGAGGTCTTCTCCAACCCAATTGATTCTATGATTCTATGTCTGATCAAGCATTGCATTCACACCAGATTTTAAATAATTTAATAATCATAATGCTCACTGTATACTACAGAGACTGAAACATAAAAATTAAAAGTATTTTGTACAATTTGAAAATATTTTTCAAATATCTGGGGCAATATCTGGAATTAAATATATTAAATGTGTGGTAGTAGTTAATGGTAATATCCTAGCATGAGCAACCAGGGGAAATAGAGGTTATACAGAAGATATATAACTGTTACACAAAGCTATTTATATTTCTTTCCAGAGTCACTTTTAATATTTATCAACATTGAAACCTATTCAGTTTGAGCCATTTTTGGTTGTGAATTTTCAGGGGTATGATATCCATGTTCTGCATTCCTGAACAGCAAAGACAACATTCATGGTAAGGCAATAAAATTTTAGTTTTCTAATTCATGGATAAATTGATGAAACTCACGGCACTGGAGCTTAATGACGAAAAAAAAAGTGTGGCTAATCAAGTGTATGCCGTTGGAAAGAAGACAAAAGTAATTGTGCTTGTTGGTGTTTTTTTTTTCTTTGACAAGGGGGTTACAATATATTCTGACTTCACAGAATAAAACATATTCTGACTTCACAGAGGAACTAAAAAAGTTTTGAATGATGCATGAAATAAAAAAAAAATCTGACCTACTGATCAGAGAAAACGCAGTCAGCATTGTGCTTTCATATTTGGGAGAGCTGTGTCTGTTAGTTGTGAAAAATACACTCTGACAGAATAAACAAAATACAAGAAAGCTCAAACATCTCCACATTAAAACCCTACCCCCTAACCCATATCACAATATTTTCTGCTTTCTTTGCTTTCCTTAGGTAGTCACTAGCTTGGAATCACTGAAAAACAGAAAACCTTCCTTATTACAGAAACTGCAACTACGCTGTTTAGCCTTGGAAATGAAAGGTAAAATCTAGAAAACTTATTTCAGTTGAACCTTGGAAAATTCTTGAGAACTTCTAAGTAATTTCTTCATTTATTTCATTTGGCTATTTTTAATCTTTTTTTTTTGCATTTAGTCCATAAAATGGTTTGTATAAAAAATATAAACTAGAGTTGGAAACGTTAGAAAGGTCAGCAGATAAAGAGAGCAGCTTCTCAAGGAAACAGAAATATGTTATTTATCCTGTTGTGCAGCACAGCTGGAGTGCTTTCAGTGGCAGAGAATGTTCATGCTGAAAATTAGGTGGCAAAATCAATAGCAGTAGGAAGATTACGCTTTTACCATTTTAGTGATCATACATTCAGCAAAAAGTTTAGAGTTCTGACTAACAGAATTATCAGAATGGAGGTACCACTGGAAAAAAACAGTAAAATGTCTATCAGAAGCTTTGTCTTTTATTTTCTGCACTTTTATATGGAGAAAGTCTGCTTATATATCTATCAGGAAAGTATTATTCATGATTAGAGACCATGTGGGGCAGTAGAAACATGCTTATGATGAATTAGATTCAGACTGCTAGCGAGGAGTAAAAAGTGCACGGGGCAAGTCTTTTACTAATTGGCATGTGAGAGTTTTGCCAGCAATCAGATTGCAAATTTTCTATGACTTGTACTGGTACAAAAGTAGTGAATAAAGCAAAAGACTCTTTTGGGAGATGAGACCTTGCATCTCTGGATAGCTTTGAATCAATCTGTTCTTACAAGTCAAACTCCATGCCTTCATGCATCTCTCTATGTACTGCCTTACTCTTGCATCTTTTTCCTCTTTTTAAAGGAAATATATATTTTTCAGCATACATATAGGAAAAACAGGAAACATCTACAAAATAATTCAGAAATAACAGTTTATGAAAATTTATGTCTAGTTTATAGTTACTCTGCAGAAAAACATGTAAATCCCTCTATGAGAAGAAATCATTGTGGTTGATCTACCAGTATTTACTGAAGAGATTTGCTAGGAAAAAAAACATTGCTAGAATTTCTGTCATCTCTGATTTATCAAGTCTGTGATGGTTGCAGGCATTAGTAACCCTTAACTGAGAAACTTGTGTAATAATTATTTAGGAGATTAATGTTTTAATTTTATGAATAGGCAGCTTTGATTTAAGATATATCTTATAATCTTAAGTCTGATGGTAATAAATGAAAGTCCACTCAAAAATATGATAGAAAGTTGACATTTTTTTAATCTTTTCTATTCTTCTGTTGGCTGTTATTGTGAGTTTACTTGTTTCCTCTCAGTTAGGGCCATGTAGGTGTTTCTGCAATGTGTTTCTTATAGTCTCAGTCCTAGGGAGACTGACCAGCTTCAGTGCTTGATCAGTTCTTACCACAGCTTGTCTGCCCTTCCACTGCAGCTAAAATAGAGCTGAAGTGAACACTGTGAAAAAAACTTGGCCTATTTTCAGAAGCAGTTAAGATTCACCTAAGCTTATTAAAGGGAAACTGATGTGTTAGCATTATTTATATTGATATTTCTGTAAGTACTTTATCAAGAATGTTACTAAGTATTCAGTACAAAATGAGCAGCAACATAAAGCTACTGCTAGGGAGATATAGGCAAAGACAAAAAACTGTAAAGAATCCTGGTGGTTCGTCTTTTGAATCCTAGCTGGAAAATAAACGAAACCAAAATCAACTCTCCCCAAACTCACAAATAACACCATAAAACTTTTTCCTAGAATACTGTTTTATTATAGTATTATTATATTTCCTTACTTTTCACACCAGTTGAAAATTCCTTTGAAAGTCAGTGTAAACTACTATTATAAATATTTTTTTCTAATATTTCTCAAAAACAACTCTTCTTAAGCAAATGAAAACAGACTTGATATCTGTTTGAAGGGAAATTATGTTGCATATGATTTTGAAAGTGATAATCGCTACACATTCACAACAATAAATATTTCAGGATAACCTGTCATGCATTTCAAATTCTTGGCTTCTCTATCTGACATGTGTCCTATTTAAATTAAAGCCATACAGCAGGAATAGAGAAGTTTCTCTGACAATATAAGTCAACACAGATTCAGTTAAGTCAATTGACCAGAGCTAGATGAGAATACAAATTAGTTGAAGTAATCTTGTTTCTGATTTAGGTTTTAAATAGTAAATTTACCATTCTTCATCTACTTTCCATGTGACTCTTATTCATAACCAAATTGGGAAACTGTGAATGAATCAGACAGAACTCCATCAAATAGTCTCCTATTTTTGTTAGTTCTTATTGATTCAAGTGCTTTGGCAGACAGGGATTCAGACATTATCTCCTTTTTGTCTCCTGCTTGTCTCAGCATCTTTTTTTTCCCTGTCATATCTCTTCTCATATCTTTTATTGTATATCCTGGTATCTGAAAGAACAAGACTCTTTTTTTTTTTTTTTTTTTTTGCTACTAAACAGCTTTGTAAGTGGAAGGAGTTTATATGTGAGAAGCTCAGAGAGAAGTATCTCCAAGAACACAGAAAATGGAGTAGAAAAGTACTCAGGATTGAATGCTGGAGATAAAACAGGTAGTATAAGATGATGAGTATGAAAGTAAAATATAAAAAGAAAAATAAGAAGAGGAAGAAATTAAAAGCTAGCAAGGGCAATGTGGAGAAAGCTACAGCCTGAAGAAATAGGAAAATTGAGACCAAGTCACATGAAAGAAGAAAGAGCAGCAGGAGTTTAGGCTGAATTAAATCCCAAAGTGAACACACTGGAATCGGCTATTCATCCATCATGGTGGATTTGGGAGATTCCTCCTAAAGTATCAAGAATTACTTTGCCAGACTGTGAGGTAGTAAAAGATTTAGAATATGAAAGGATTTCAAGTGTTATTTTTCTCATATATAAAAAAAAAAATGTAGGTGGAAGGACTGAATGAACTCTGATAATAGATAGATGACTGTGGAGATAAAATAACATTGACTAGATTTTCCAGACTTTCAGCAATATAGAGATGTTCAGAAACACAACACAGTGAGTGGATGAAGTCCATTTTGGAGATAAACAGCCTTCAGGTTGTCATGATTGCTAAGATCCTGAAATTCAAAGGGTACAAGTTTGCACTCACTATGCAATGGCCATGCCTACTTTTAACATACAAAAAAAAAAAAAGGGAAAAATAGAGTCACATGGGACATTGAGACAGATAGAGATGATCATGAGGGAGGAAGTCTTAATAACACAATAACAAATTAGATGATAAATGTTCATGAAAGAATTGCACATATGTAGTTGTATCTAGTCAAGAAGACAAACAAGTCCAAAGACAGACCCAGGTGGGTAAACAAAGAGAAGAACCAGAACTACATATGTAAAGTGGATATTATATAGACTAGTCATTAAGTGGAACTCAATTATAAAAAATTAAAAAATCAAGAAGCATTATAAAAGTGTTCAAGGAGGAACAGACATTAAAGAGCTGAAAAAAACTCCACAGAAAAAAAATGAAATGAAAATATAGTAATAGCAGAATTAGCCTGGATCAAAATAATTTTTAAAAAGTTTAAAAAGCTGTAAAAGTCATGGCAGGATTTTTTTTTTTTAATCATTCACATTAATGAACATGTAAGAGGTGACTCTATATTAGACTCAGTTTTGGAAAGAATTAACAGAGACTTACTGGATGAAGATAACGTCTGTTTAGGTGACAGTAAGTTAATTCATTTTTTTACTTCAGTGAGTAGAAAAAGGCTGTGTGATATAAGGTCTTCAAATTCAAAAGATGATGAGTGTTCAAGAAACTGCAAATTTCTTCATGCTAGAAAAACTGTGTATAGAATATGAAAATGTTATATGCCTGGCAATCTTAATAAAGGAGCATTGTACCGCTAGTAGTGAGTTTTAGTTTTAAAATCGTGGTTTCTTTACTTCTATTTCTTTTAAGCTGGTGTGAGAGACTGAAATGGTTAATGGCTTAAACATTGCTAAGATCACCAAAAGACTTGTCCACTGTAGAAAACTGTGCAGAGAAACAACTGCTTACGCAAGCCCACCCCTCCCTGAATATACCTACTAATTTGGACTGTGAGGGACACTTGAGATAAGGTTAAGGTGGTACTATTGTCCAGTTATCCCAGGAGGAGAACATATCCACAAGTGTGAGAGACTGGAATGCTAATGTCTCAAACAATCACGGTGCAAGTTGACAATGTGCAAAGTAACCACCCAGCTGCTGAGGGCATGCACAGCCATCACCTCAGGCTAAAACCTGGGTGTTGAACGAGATAGGGAGAGAGCAGATCCTTCAAGGTGCATTAATGTTTCTTTGTCCTTACACAGATTACTCAACTGTGATAATTCCCTTCCAGGGAACTGCCAGAACATTCACAGGAAGCCTGAAGATAGACATTCATCTCTGCTGTTGGGCCATAATGGGCCGTAATGGACTCAGCTGTGCTGACACAACAGA